GAGTTGGTATGAGCCCCTAATAAAATTATTTTTTTTAAGAGCTCCTATCTCAAAAAAAAGGGAGGGGGCTGGGAAACAGGGCCGTGGAAAGGGAGGGAGACACTGAGGGGGAAGAGGCAGGTGGGAAGCTGGGTAGGAAGGGCGCCTCCGGGGAGGGCGTTCTCCTAGAACTCTCCGCAAGGGGGGAGTCCATTCGACAGGTGCTCAGGGGAGCACTGAGGCAGGGGAAGAGTGGACTGAGATAGCAGCTCTGGGAGAAAGGTCAAGGAAAGACCTCTCCATAGGGTTGCAGGCTGGCCAGGCTTTGGCGGCACTGGCAGGGTCCACTCTGGCCTTGGCATTACAGACACTGCTTTTTCAGGGGCGATCTGCCTCCCCCCAATATGTCCGGCAGGGCAGGAGGGGACGCCGGAAGCATCAAGCCTCTAAAGGGCCCCTCTGAAGGATAGCAACTTGCCCACGTCGGGCTCCACCTTCTCGGAGGGTCGGGCAGGCCTGGGTCCCGTCGTCGGACCCGGTGGCCCCACGGGCAAGCCCGGCAGACCTACCTTGCTCGGTGCCGCTGGCCCCGGCTTGCCGCTGCCCGGAGGGGCCGGGCCGGGCGTGAACAGGAACATGCTGCGGAACAGCCGCCGCTTGAGGCTGCTCTCCTGGCTCTTGGGGCTGGGGCTGCCCTCCCCGCCGGGCCTGCCCGCCGCCGAGCCCACCAGGCAGGACTGTGGCCGGGGCTCCTCTGAGCCGGGCCGGGCAGTCTTGGTCCCACGCCTGCCGGCGGCCGCGAGGGGCGAGGCGGCCGGCGGGGAGCTCTGCAGGCAGGCGCCCAGCTGCAGGCAGCGCTGCGCGGTCCCCTGGAACTCCGCGGGGCCCAAGGACTGCGCTTTGGCCGCCAGCCCGTTGGTCTGGACCCTTGGGCTCCGCGGCTCAGGCCACGGCATCTGCTGGCGGCCGGCGGGGGTGCCCCCGTTGCAGCTGAGGTAGAGGCCGTGGGGGTCGGGGCGCTCCGATTGGGGGCTCTGCAGGTACATGTCCGGGTCCGCGGCCCAGTGCTCGTCGCCCAGCAGCCCCAGGGACTGGGCCCGCCGCCGGCTGGTCGGGCTGCGGCCGCGCAGGGTGTTGGAGCTGATGACGGACAGCTTCTGGATGTCGCTGAGCAGCCCCAAGATGTAGCCGTCGGTGGGCACGGAGCTGCCCCGCACCACTGTCTGGGGGCCGAGAGAAGAGGGGGTGAGCAGCCTCTGGGCGGGACAGCCAGAGACCCTCCTTGGCAAGAGGCAGAGGGGCGGGGGTCTTCGGGCGGCACACCGTGGGTGGGTTTCTAAGGCCCTCCTTGGCTCTGACCCGCTCCTGGTCCTTTCCTCTCCCAGGTCCCAGCGGGCTGGGCCTGTGCCGGCGGGGAAACAGGGCTGTGGTTACGGCTGCTCCCAAGGGCTTGCAGGCCAGTGGGACGGGCCCTGGGGACAACCCGGCTGGCCGAGTGGTGTAGTCGGCAGAGCCTGGGGAGCAGGGTGGGCGCTGGCTGGCTGGGGGTCGCCTGGGGAGGCCTGCCATTCCCTGGCTCTACCTGCAGCCTCTCAGAGATGGGCTGACCTATCCACACACCCGAGTTCATGGCCCCTCACCCCAACATTCTCCCAGGCTCCAGACCTGCCCGTCTGGATCTCCGGTCTATCAGAGCCCCCAGGCCCCTTCTCTGTCCCTCCGACGGGGTTGCCTGATAAACACAGACCAGCTAGTCACATTCAAATGGAAAATAACCGTGATGCTAGCACGTCTCCGTTTTTCCCCGGCAGCCTACCTGATGCGCTCCAGACAGCGTGCTTGTCAGGAATCGAAGGCTGAGCTAGCCTTGCTCAGGGCAGGTTTTTCTGCGCCGTTTTCCAAACAGCTTGTGCGCGTGCGCACTTTGCCTCCCTATCACGTTTTGGCGATTCTCAAAGTATCGCAAACTCTTTCGTAATGTTACTGCACACTTAATAGACTACAATATAATATAAACATAACTTTTATTTGCACTGGAAAACAAAAAAAAACCCTATGTGACTCATTTTATTGCTATATTAGCTTTATTGCAAACCCGCAATAGCTCTAAGGTATGCTTGTATATATATACATACACACACATATATATAAATTATGAGTATGTTCTCAATATTGCATGGGACCTACCTAAGTCAAATGATTATTCAGTGTTACTTGAAATTCTAATCCAACTGGGCAGCCTGCATTGGCTAAATCTAGCAGCCCAGCAGAAGGGGCTCCCCCTTGAAGAGAAGGGGCCACTGGTTGGCAGGAAATGAATTGATAATTGATTATCTAGGGGTTGGTTCAGTGCTGGTGTGGGGTGGAAGTTTGGCCCTGCCCACCCACCATACCTTCATGGGCTGCAGCTGCACCCGCGTGATGCGCGAAGGGTCCACCACAGGCTTGGGTCGCCGCAGGGTATCCAGGATGTTTTGCCATTGTGGGGGGAGGCCCACGAACTTCCCTTCTTTGGGGTCGAAGGAGGTGTGGACGCGGTGCTGGAAGTTCTGTGGGGCTGAAATCTCAGGGCGTTTCTTCTTCTTCTTGCGGAACATGGTACCTAAACAGAGAGGTGGGGCCGAGGTGGGGCGAGCCTTCACCAGAGCCTCCCCGGCACAGCCGCGCCTCAGCCCCCAGCCGCCCTCCCGCTCTTCCCTGCTTCCTCAGGGCCATGGCCGGCTCCCAACAGAGTAGTCCCGGAAACAACGCAAGCCTCATACATAAGCCAGCACACACTCTCAACAAGGAAAAGAGATGTGGTCTCGTGTCCGCGCCAACACCCCTGCCTAGGAGGCAGACTGGGGGTGAGCTTTTATAAAATTCCCAAACCCATGGCAAATGCCATTCCACCGACACGGCCTTGCGACAGGAGGAATGAGGGAACTAAACTGGCAAACTCTTATCATGAAGCTCCTATGACTTGGAATCGTAACCAGATGAGAACAGGACAAGAAAAAGACAATGTGAACAACCTCACTTACAAACATTCAGGTGGAAATCTTCAGCAAGACGAGCACATTTAATCCCGACGTCTCTTAGACTCAAGTTCATCCCCAAGTGGTTCAACGACAAGGACACACATCTGCACGGACCCACCGGCGGGTTCACAGAGCTGGGGTCTGCTCTGGGGCCATTTCTCATAGGACCAAGCCAAACCAGACCAGTTGCTGTGGAGTCCGTCCGTTCTGACTCAGGGCGGCCTCGGGCCTCTGCTCGAACTGCACTCCATAGAGCAGTGTTCTTACCTCCTCAGGCCGTCCCTCAGGTGGTGGTGACCCCCCACCATAACATGATTTTCATTGCTACTTCATCACTGTCATTTTGCTACTGTGATGAATCGGGCGACCCTTGTGAAAGGGTCATTTGACGGTCCCAAAAGGGTCACGACCCACAAGTTGAGAACTGCTGCCATAGAGCTTCCCAGTCTGTGACCTTTCCAAAGCAGGTGGTCAGGCCTTTCTTCCAAGGCACCTTTGGGTGAGTTCAAACTGCTAGCCTTCCACTAACAGCCCAGGGCTTACCCATGGGTGCCACCCAGGGATGCCTACCACAGGAGTAAGGAACCTCAAAGGGGCCTTTATGGTCACCAGGTGCTTTGCTCTTGACTCCAGAAAGCCCTTGAGCCAAGGGGACAGATGGGTGGCTGAGGGTTGCCTCTCTGGGGGTTAAAGCTCACCTGGAAAGAGAGACCCCTATGGCTCCTTAGAGCCCTTTCTCAAGTGTACACATCACCTCCATCCCTTGCTTTGCAAAATTTTAGTTTGTAGAGGTCTTCCTGCCACCGCTTGCCTGTCAGTCTGTTGTACTGTGGTGGCTCGTGTGTTGCCGTGATGCTGCAAGTTGTGTTACTGGTATTCCAAATTACACCCAAACCAAAACCCACTGTGGTTGTTGATGACAACTCAGAGTGACCCTATAGGACAGGTTGGAACCACCTGCTCCTGTGAGACTGGAGCTCTTTACAGGAGTAGAGAGCCTCATTCCCTGGAGCAGCTCCTGGCGGTTTCCAACTGCTGACTTTTGGGATCACAGCTCACCTTGTAACCACTATGCCACCAGGGCTCCTATCAAATACCAAAAGGATCACCCAAAGTGAGCAGGTTTCGGCAGAGCTTCTGGACTAAGAACAGACTACAAAGAAGGAATAGGCTGTCCACTTCTGAGGAATTAGCTACTGAAAACTTTATGATTCGCAGTGGAACATCGTCAGACACTGCAAACGTCAAGATTAGCAACAGAACAGAGGTAGTGCCAGAAGATGAGCCCCTCAAGTCGGAAAACATTCAAAATATGCCTGAGGAAGAGCTGCTTTCTCAAAGTAGACTTGACCATATGGCGTGGATGGAGCCAAGTCTTCTGGACCTTCATTTGCTGTTGGGGTACAACTCAAAAGGAGAAGAAGCAGTTGAAAACATCTATCAATAGTTGGATCTTGGCCAAAATGGGTGCATAAGCAAATGTGGTGAAGAAAGCTGATGGTGCCCAGCTATCAAAAAATATAACAAACTTAAAAAAAATTTATATATATATAAAACTTTAAACAGGGGGCCAGTTCACTGTCCCTCAAGCCCGTTGGAGGGCCGGACTATAGTTGAAAAAAAAAAGCTATGAACAAATTCCTATGCACATTGCACATATTTTATTTTGAAGTGAAAAAACAAACGGGGCAAAACAAACGGTGGGCCGGATAAATGTCCTTGGCGGGCTGCATGTGACCCACAGGCCATAGTTTGAGGACCCCTGATCTAGGGCTTTAAAGGCTTGAAGATAAACAAGTGGCCATCTAGCTCAGAAGCAACAAAGCCTACACGGAAGAAGCACACTAGCCGGTGTGATCATGACATGTCAGTGGGATCAGGCATTAGGCATCTAAGACCCTGAACAAAATCATACTCAATGTGGATGGGGGGAGGGCATGGAGTGGAGACCAAAGGTCCATTTGTAGACAATTAGACATCCCCTCAAAGAGGGGTCACAGGAAAGAGATGAGCCAGTCAGGGTGCAGTATAGTGAAACACACAACTTTCCTGTAGTTCTTTGGTGCTTCCTTCCCCCCACCATCATGACCGTAATTCTACCTCACAAATCGGATTAGACCAGACATGCACATTGCTACAGATAAGAGCCCGAAACACAGGGAATCCAGGATAAGATACACCCCTCAGGGCCAACAATGAGAGTAGAGATCCCAGGAGGATTAGGGGAGGGTAGAGGGAGAAAGGGGGAATTGATCACAAGGATATAACCCCCTCCCAGGGGGATGAATAATGGAAAAGTGGGTGAGGGGCTATAGAGGACGATGTAAGATTTGAAAATAATAATCTATAACTTATCAAGGGTTCATGAGGGAGGGCAGGCTGGGGAGGGAGGGGGAAAAATGGGGAGCTGATATCAGGGGCTCAAGTGGGAAGAAGAGGATGCTTTGAAAATCATGATGGCAGCATATGTGCAAATGTGCTTGACACACTGGATGCATGTATGGGTTGTGATAAGAGATTTAAGAGCCCCCAATAAAAGTAAGGAGAAAAAAAAGTTGGATCTTGGTATGTATGAAATATGAATCTAGGAAAATTGGAAGTTGTCAAAAATGAAATAGAAGGCATAAAGATCAATATTCTAATGAGCTAGAATGGGCTGCTATTGGCTATTTTGAATCAGTCAGTCATATGGTTTCCTATGCCAGGAATGGGAGGGTCAAAAGGACATTTCAAAATCTATCTTGAAGCACAATGCTGTCTGCAGGCAGGGCTATATTTATATACCTATAAGGAAATCCAGTCAATATGATTGTTATTTATATTTATGCACAATCCACTACCGTTAGTGATGCAGCAAGTGAAGAATTTTACTAATGTCTTCATTGATCAAACATACTATCAAGATGTGTTCATGATTAGCCATTGAAATACAACAGTTGGGAGCAGAGGAAGAAACAGTAGTTGGAAAATATGGCCTTGGTGATAAACACAAAGCCAGAGATTTGCAGGACAATGACTTCTTCATGGAAAATACCTTTTTTAAAAAAACACCAATGGTAAGAAAAAGGAAAAAAAACATCAATGGTGACTATGCATGTGTAGTTCTCCATGTGAAATATGCAGAAATCAAATCCACTACATCTGTGGGAAGAGATGCAGAAGCTCGACATGTCAAGAACAGATCTGATGCATTGAACACTAATGACAGCAGACCGATGAGCTGCACGATGACATCAAGACCACCATGGATGAAGGAAGCAAAAGGCCATTAGAAAGATAAGAAAGAGCAAGATATGACAAAATACCAATTTATAAACTATCAAGGGCACATGAGGGAGGGAGGGGAAAAATGAGGACCTAATGTTGGGGGGTTAAGTGGAGAGAAAATGTTTTGAGAATGATGTACAAATGCGCTTTACACAATTGATGTGTGTATGGATTGCGATAACAGTTGTATGAGCCCCTAATAAAATGTTTAAAAAAAAATAAATTAAAAATTTTTTTGAAAAAACAAACAAAAACAGGAAGTAGGTGAACGGTGTGTTTAGATGGCGAAAACCATGAAATTGCCTGGCTGCTAATTGAAAGACTGACAGTTTGATGAGGTCAATGAATGTACAAACATACTTTACACAATTGATGTATGTATGGATTGTGATAAGAGTTGTATGAACCCCTAATTAAATGATTAAAAAAAAAGAAAAAAAAAGATAAGAGGTGTAAAAATTGTTCAAGGTAAAAAAATAAAATCAAGGCAATGATTTAGAAAGGAAAAAAAAAAAGAAAGATAAGAAAGAAGGAAAAGATCAAAGTGGATGTCAGAAGAGACTCTGAAATTTGTTCTTAATCATAGAGTAGCTAAGACAAATGGAAGTTAAATAATGAAGTTAAAGAGTTGAACAAAAACTTCAAAGGTAGCATGAGAAGACAAAGTAAAGTGTTATAATGTAATGTGCAAAGGCCTGACATTGGGAGAGAGGTCAAGTGTTAACAAAGTGCCGGGCTAGCCTAGCCTTCTGGGAGCCCCAGCCTGGGACCACCAGAGCTGAGTTGGGGGTGCCATTTGGATTTCTCTGTATATGAAATGGTTCAGATCAGCTCACTGGGCTCCGATGTTACCAAGAAAGGGTACTTGCTGGTTTCAAGAAAAAACCCTGAAACAAGGGGGGCAACTGCTCAAATCATTCATGGAACATTCTAGAGATCTGCCATGTTGTCATGGCATTCTATGTAGCTCTGGCGCTGGGAACACTTCAGCTGGTTCTGGAGTCAGCTATGGGTCTGGGAGGCAGGTAGTGTCCCATCAGGAAGTCAGGGCATCCCTCCAAAGCAAGCCCTTTCCTAAGCAGCTACCGGGATTGACCATGCCTGGATAACCTGAACCCATTTACAGCTCGTGGGGTTCAGGGTCTATGAGATGTTCCTGAGGGCAGAGCCACACATGCAGGATCCCTAACAAGGACTTTGGGCTGACACACTAGGCTTAAGTTGCAGGCCCATTGTTAATTTGGAGAGACTTTGAACAAGTTTCATAAACAGGTTGAACCCCAGAATTCTTTATCTATGAAATGGGGTTAATAAC